TTTGGAGAACTTATAAAATAAAATGTAGTAGCTTGGTTCCTGTCCCCAAGACAGCCTGATTTATTTAGTCTGGAGAGTGATCTGGTATTAATTTGCTCCCTACTTTTTGGTTATAAAAATTTTAAACATCAAGAATTTTTGAATTAATAATATGTGAAAATACAGAGGCCCATTACATTTATGAATATTTTATAATATGATATAAAGAGGTAGGAAGACAAATAGAGATCTCATTCAACTTTAGCATGGAACTATCCAAAAGTAAGAGTGCTTCCTACAAAACCACAATACCATTATCCCATGTAAGAAATTACTGATAGATAATTTCTTATTGTCTAGTCTTTAGTCACATGTCTTCCATAGTCCTCAAAGTCTCCTTTTTAGCAGTTTTTTGAACCAGAATTTAATCAAATTGTATACATTCATTCAATTGTTAAGGTCTTCAGTCTACTGAACTCCCCTTTGTTTATTTTTATCTTGCACTGGCTTTTTAAAGCAACAGACCAAACAGAATAATCTATGACATATATATGAGTCTGATCATCTCTTTATGGTGTCATTTAACTTGCACATCATTTCCCAGTAGTATCAGAGACCCCTGCGTGGATCCCGATCTCCTGCTTAGTACTATGAGGCATGGCAAGAAGAAACACAGACAGAATTAAAGAGACAGAGACCGGGAACTGGGATGACCAGTGCCTGAGTAAGTAAAGGCTTGAGCAAGCAGAGGCCCTGAAAGGCCGGAACCATGGATATTTATTGGTGACACAACCATTGTTAGGTTGGCGTGAGGGGGCTACATGGGGTTGCTAGGAACATGTTGCTGACGCAGGCAAGGCTTGTAAAGGAAGAGACAAAGCATTCTTGTGTTAGGCTGCGAATGGAATTTGGGTAAGAGTCACTCTGACCTCAGCCATGCTATCTCATATGCTTTGGTCAGGCTCGTTTCTTAAGCCAGTTCTGGGGTGAACTCTTTATAGCCTACACGGCTTACAGCTGCTTTGGGTGTAAGCACTGGGGTGGTCTCCCCTATGGTAGGTCCTGTAAATAAATCTCAAGAAGTGGATTTGGATTAAGCATTTGGGAAAAGTTCAGTTCACAGGAGATGGGTAATCCGTGTCACACCAAGTGACACGTGCGGCCAGGTGTTCTCACTACTAGTAATCCATGTGAGTCTGATCTATTTATCAAGAAATGACCATCCTACCTCTTAGTTAAAATTCATTTCTGTATTCACCATTAACAGTGGATCTATGAAGTGATGCTTTGTGAATGTTCTCTTTCCCCCCCCAAAAAATTTATTATTTTTAGTATCCCTGGATCACAGTTGTTTAAAAGGATTATTTGGTTGGAGGTTATAAAATGCTGTTTTGCATGGGTTTTGTTGTTGTTTGTTTAATTTTAATTTTTTATTAAGGCATTACTCGTATACAGCAAGAATTCATCCTTTTTTACTGTGCAGTTACGCACATCTTGACAAATGCATTCATTTCTACAACCAGCACCACCATTAAGATATAGAATAATCCACCACTCACCAAAAATTCTTCCAAGTCCCGTTATAGTCAACCACTCTCGCAGGGAAGCCACTGATCTGTCTTCTGTCCCTTTAGGTTTGGCTTTTTCAGAATGTCACATACCCAGAATCAAACATTGCATAGCCTTTTAATTCTGGCTTCTTCCATGTAGCAAAAAAATGTTTGCAGTCCATCTGTGTTGTCTTTTGTATCAGTAAGTTTTTTCTCCTTGTCTTGCTGAAGAGTATTCCATCACATGGAATCCACTGCTGATATATTGAAGGATGTGTTTGGATTGTGCACAGTTTGGGTTAATTATGAACAAAGCCATAAAAGCATTCTCATTTAGGTCTTTGTGGAATGTAAGTTTTCTTTTCTCTTGGGTAAATACTTAGTGATAGTATTGCTGCGTTGTTTAACAAATATATATTAAATTGCATTAAAAGCCCTTCTAAGATCTTTTCAGCAGTGCCTGTACCATCTGTATCTCTATCTACAATATGTTAGTCACACCATTGTTAAAATTCCACCTTTCTTTATATTCTTTCCTGACATTCTCCCATGAAGAAAAGCACATCCTTGAGACCAACCATAATGTGTTTATAAAGGTGGAATTGAAGCTAATTCTTTCCATCTCACTAATAATTATTAGCAGAAATAGTTTTATATGTGTCAGTTGCAGGGGTGAGAGGCAGTAGGTTGACTCCTGCCTTCTCTCCTCTTGCCCTCTGTTCTATTTCTTTGTGTTGGAATCTCATCATTTTTGTCAAAGTTCACGTACTCCATCCGTACACAAGTGCCCCTTTTTTTCTTTCTCTCTTTCTTTTTTGTAACTGTAGGCATAGAACTATTATTCTATATTTTCCAATCATAAACATTTATCATTCTTTACAATGCTTAGTGGCCTGCATTGGGTCCTCTTCTTTCCAGAAGCCTATTTTCATCTTCACCCAAAAGAGAAACGAAGTTTGACCCCATCTGGAAGAGAACAACACAAGACCAGTGGGCTGGTGTTTGGTGCTTTGAATCCTGAATTTGTTAGGGCTCAGGAGAGTAAAATAGGGCATGATTAGTGCTGAAGGAGGGCAAAGTGTTATGCTAAATTTTTTCCCTGAGCACCTTCCTGAAACAGCTCCTAAGTTTGCACCTTAATGCAAAATGCTACTTGTACTGAAAGAAAGTCACAGAACTGGCAATGCTTTTTTTTTTTAATCCACTTTCTGTGTTCCAGGAAGCTTGTACTGATCCTGAACTTCCACCTCTGACCTGGAACCTGGGACTTCCACCCCGAGCAGCTCTCATCTGACTTTCAAAAGCAGACGTCTCTGTGGTTGTGGCCAAAAAAATGGTATCGTCAGCTGGAAGCATTTTCATTCAAAGAAAATGTATTTCCATGTGTGGCTGGGGTGAAAAGTATGAAAAACTCATCCAAAACAAAAGTGCTTTAAACTACCCTCTTTGAAGTCACAATCTTGTTTCTTCCTTGACCCTATCCTAAATTGTACATTGTACATTGAGAGGAAAGAGGGCATTTCAACCACATGGCTGTTCTGCACAACATGAATCCCTGAAACGTGCTCTGCAACAAGAGCTACAGAAGGTGCTGTTGCCTTTTGAGCACCAGTTAAACATCTGAACTATTTCTGCTGTCTCTTAACTATTAAGATACAACACATTTGTGATATTTGTTGACGTTTGTTATATTTCTGATGAACAATTAGCCTGCAAAAATATTAACAGGAAATTCCATTCATGAGACAGGCAGCTGTTGGGGCAAAGTCTCAGCCAGATCATGAGACCCAAAATCTTCTTTATGCAAGTACTATTTGTCAGATAGTCAGCATTCCTTAAAGGCCTGAAAGGAAACGCTTTGAAAATAACTTTTATGGCTAATTTTGAGTCATATTTTTGTAAGAAGAAAAGACCTTTTATGGTTAATCTTCACTCTTATACTTACAGTGTGTATAAAATGAGAGTATTCGGTAGGGTCCCTAATTACCATATACACGTCAAATAAGCAATGACTGACACCAGGAATTTCCAAAGTGCGACACAGAATCCTGTGGCTGGTTTTACACCCCGATTCCTATTTCATAGTATACCATCGTGCTTTATTAGTTAATTCTTCAACCAAAATGATAAGAATACTCTCTTACTTAAAAAAATATATATATGTCTGTCTTCTAATTTTGAGCTATTCAGCCATTTGGTGCAATATTTATTTAGCATCCAATGAATTCCTGGAGAAACAGCACCATGTGACTGCGAGGCAAAAGGCCAGTAAGGAAGGAGTTGGGGACACATCACGGTAACAGAAACGAAGGCCTCTCTCTTGAAGTGCTAGGAAGGCAGCACTGCTATTTCACTGGAAGGAGAAGAGTTTTTCAAAGACTCACTCACCTCCCGTCAGTCACCACCTCCTGCACAGGGGCCCCTTCTAAATACCACTGTGCCTGTGGCTTCATCCCAACTGCCCGGTCACCCCGGCCACTGCCATGTCCTCATTACAGTAAGAACCCATCCGCCTCCTTCTAGCCTGCCTGCCTCTCATCTTTCCACCACACAAAGTCCAAATGCTTTGGATCATGTGTCCCTATCAGTAAAATATTCCTGAGTAGGCATGTCCAATAATGACACTTCTTTATAAATTATACACACACACTGCTTGCTCCCAAGGCATGTGTATGTTCACTATCAGTAGAGTTTCACATCTTTCTTACTTTTTCCAAATTAGAGTCCATCTGCATCCAATTTTCTCCTAGTATTTTCTCACATACTTTGGTGGGTAAAGGCTTTCTCCACCACCACTGTTCAAAGCAGCCACCAAAGTCAGTGAAATGATATCGGATGGTAAATAAGACCCTGCCTGATGTCCTGCAGTGATGATCTTCAGCTTTTGCTCTCAAATAAGCCCAAACCTCTTCCAAGTTTCCTTTTTTTGCCCAGGAGAGTCTCAGACCTGCAGAGATAATCAGATATCTGCTGCAAGAAACAAACCCACCTTCCCAAGCTTACCCAACACTCTGTCCCTCTGGGATCCGACCCTTTCCTCTGGTCCCACTGGACTTTCCACAGTGAGGATATAAAAAAGAAAATGTGCTGTCTGACAAGGGTGATTCTTTTTCTTTTCTTTTGTAAGCTTTTTAATGTTAACGTAATGCTTTTACGTATTTATGAGTTACAGTACGATGATTCAATACATGTAGGCAAAGTGTTATGATCAAATTAGGGTAATTATCATTTCTACTTCCTCCAACGTTAATCAGTGCTGTGTGTCTGGAACACTGCGACTCTTCTGGTTATTTTGATCTATTTCATGGATCATTGTGGATTATAGTTATCTGATGAGGCTATGACACGAGAAGTAATTTGTTGTGTCTAACTGTATCTTGGCATCTCAGCTACCCCACCACTAGGCGTATAGATGAAGGCAGTGAAGTCAGTACACTGAGCAAACATTTGGGCTTCCACGTTTATTTGCCTTTATTCACAAAAGCTGAGATAAGGGGCCACCCAAGGTGCCCACCAGGGGACGAATGGACAGGGCACTCGTGGTCTGCACTCTGGACAGTAGAACACGATTCGACAATGAAAAGATCATCCTGTTGTTGGCCTCGAGAAGAGTGGAGCGGGAGGGTTCCGTAGTGACACACGTGAGTCACACGTGTCCCCACATGTCTATGGAAACTGAAAAAACACATCTCACAGCAAATGGTTAGACAGTGACAATTACCGGCTCTCAGGTGTCAAGCTTTCCAGGAGGAGGAAGTGACTCTTTACCAGGCTCTCAGAGGCGGAAGAGGAGAGAATGAATCCCCTTCCATTCTTCACTGAGGGAGGGGCATAGGTGGCCAAATGGAGTGCTCTGTGAGGCTGGGGGGGGGAGACAGCAAGACCCCTTTCTCACCCAGAGTAAGGGTCGTGACTGACACCCCTGTCACAGAAGACAGATTAATGAAGGAGAAACCCAGCAAATCACTCAACAAAGTTTTACAGGACGCGTGAGCCTTCAGAGGCGAAGACACAGAGTTTTTCTAAGTTTTTCTGTAGAGAAATCCTGAGGTTTAGTTGTCCAAAAGTCCGAAGGACAATTTTCCAAAAGGATTAAGAGCTATCTCTTTTAAATCTTGTTTCTAGCAACATGAGGTGACTCGTATGGGAATGGGCCTGTGTATCAAACACTGCGTCCAACGGTTGCTATCGAGCACGAGTCCCCAAAACCGCCCCAGTGCTGTGCACCCCAAAGCTTACTCCATTTCACACCCTTCACGTCGTCCCTGTCAGCTGCTCACCACCCCATAGCGCATAGCCTTCTGTGGCCAAATGTCCCTCAGTGGTGCCAACCATCAGCTCCAGCTCCCAGGCAGCACAGCTGACCTCAACGTCCAAATTCCCCTCTCCTCCCGCCCACATCCACTGACCGGCGCCTCCCACCTCACCCTGGAAGTCTCATGAATCCATCTTTCTCCTCTGAGGCCAGTGACCCCAGGCCTTTAGCACTGCTTGCTTGAGTGACCTCCAGCCTCTCCTACATGATGTCCCCAACCACCAGGTCTGCTTCATAATACTTTTAGCTCAGCTGCCCATTTCCAATTTACTACCTTAAAGAAATCAGCTTACATAATATTTTCCAACTAACAATTTTTAGTATATATTGTCTATACAGTCACACCCAGCCACTTTGTTCTTATGCTCTAAAATATGATTATTCAGGGCCAGAGATTTAGCTCAGTGGTGCTCCCACCTGCCTCGCAAACACAAGATACCAAGTTTGATCCTGGTACAAAAAAAAAGTATGATTATTCATTCAAAAATTAGGAATATGTGTTACTACACTAATGCCAAGCACTGAACTCAGGATCTTGCTCTTTCAAGGCAAGCAGCAGAACCACTGAGCTAAATCCCCAGCCCACTAATATATTTTAAATATTAATACATAATATTCATAAATTTTTTGACACAAGGTTTTACTATATAGTTCAGGCTGGCCTCAAACTCTTGGCGATCCTCCTGACTCAGCCTCTCAAGTGTGAAAATATCTATTTATTATTTATTTATTTATTTATATATTTATTGGTACTAGGGATCGAACCTGGGTCCTTGTGCTTGCAAAGCAGGCGGTGGAACCACTGAGCTAAACCCCCAGCCCTATCAATTTAAAACTATGTCATCACCTCTCTGTCACAATTGCAGAATGAAGACATTGTCTGTGTTCTGATTATAGTGATGGCTACCAGACTCTATATATGTAGATTAAAATCCAGAAAACTATACATCAATAAAAACTCAAATTTACTATAGAAAAGTTCTAAAAGTAACTTTTAATAAAAGCACAAGATAAAACTCTAAATTGACTTTTAATATACTTGTCCATTCCTAGCTGGAGCACACCTACCCCCTTTGGGGACCACTGGGTCACAGGATTAAATTCTAACCCTGTAGATTGTCAGTTTGGCTGCTGTTACAAAAGAAACAGTAGAAAATCCTGCAGTCATTGGAGAGTCTTAAATTTCTTTTGAAGAAATCAAATGCCTCTGGCTCTTGTCTTCTGATCTTTAAAATCCTTTGCAGAAAATTCTGCCAACGGCAAAACAAAAACTGAGATTTCGTCAGCCAAGCTGACACAGGCTCTTGGAAACTTGGGCCCCGCCTTCTCCTACCTTTATTTCTCGGGCTTCTACTTCTTAGGACCCTCTGCCCCAGCCCACTGGGCCTTGAACCATTGTACTCCAGACCATAACACTCCAGAGTGCTTGCTCTCTGAAGGTTATTTCATGGCCTCATAACCCCTAAAGGTGTTGTCTTAGTTACTTCCCTCATTGCTGAGACGCAGTACTGGACACCCGCAGCTTAGAGGAGAGATTTATTTTGGCTCATCTTTCAGTCCACAGAGGTACCAAGGCAGGAAGGCATGGCAGAGAAACAGCAGCTCACAGCGTGGCAGACAGGAAGCAAAGTCAAGGGCGGAGTGGGAAGAGAGCTGTCGCCTCCCTGCTCGCGCTCACTGTGACCCAGCTCCTTACAGAGTGTGAGACGAGATGCCCCATAACCAGTCACCTTGCTAAGGTCCCACCGATGATCCTATGAGACTTTATGGGGACAGCTACGTATAAAACGTAACTGATGTGCTCGTGTCAGGCGTCCTCCTCCCTGGAGGAAGAGACGCACAAAGAGACAGACACACAGAGATCCAAAGCAGCAGCCTTTGCTGGAGCTCCCTGCCTCACACAGCCTCATAGCAGTTGATCAGACCATTTTGTTCCATTGTATTTCTCCACTCCTATCCACGTCTTTCATCAAATTGAGCATGAAAATACAGTTTTCCTTGACTCTCTGTGTCTTCGCCTCTGAAGGCTCACACGTCCTGTAAAACTTTGTTGAGTGATTTGCTGGGTTTCTCCCTCATTAATCTGTCTGTTGTGACAGGGGTGTCAGTCACGACCCTTACTCTGGGTGAGAAAGGGCTCTTGCTGTCTCCCCCCCCCCCAGCCTCACAGAGCACTCCACTTGGCCACCTATGCCCCGCCCTCAGTGAAGAATGGAAGGGGGTTCATTCTCTCCTCTTCCGCCTCTGAGAGCCTGGTAAAGAGTCACTTCCTCCTCCCGTGACAGTCACTCCCTCCTGTGACAAGGCCCAAACACTTCAGACATGGTCGGTCACATCTTTTCCGAAATTCTCACAGAATTTGTGCAACTTCTGCTTTGAAGCTAATGACCTCTGCCTGCATATCAAGTGAAGAAAGCTCATCAGTCCCAGTGAGCTGCCCATCTCACTTTGGGGGTAGAACAGTGGGAAGCTCTGTGGGTCTAAGGTGGACGCAAACTACCAGAAGCTAGAAAAATAGCTCTGCCGAATTTATGGAAGAGAGTTAGGTGGAGGAGGTGAGTGAGAAAGAGCATAGCAGAGAAGAGAGGAAGGAGGAAGAGAAGAAAAGGAGAAAGAACAGTACAGGTTCTCATCAAAGTAGTGGGGAGGTGGCATTAGACTTGATGGAAATATTGCGAGAGATGAAGTCTATTCCTCCGTGTTAAAGTCACTGCTCCATGGTTCTGCAGTGGCATCTTCCTTGTCATCAAACTGTCAGCCAAAACCAGCCCATGTGTCATGGTTTGTGTCTGGATGTCCCCCCAGAGCCTACTGGAGCTGTAGGTGTGGCTGTTTTCAGAGGAGGCTGAATCTAGAGTGTGATGCTGGGATTCAGGGGGTGTGATGACTAAATCAGTCCACTGATTTGTTTGGCACCACCCAATCCGGTAGCCTGGATACAACATAAGGGACAGAGAGAGGCTTGTCTGTCTCCTCGCTTGCTTGCTTGCTTGCTTTTGCTGTCTTCTTTCTGCCATAAATTTCTCTTCAAAGCCCCTCTACCGTGTGCCCACCTGCCTTGGAGCCAGCTGCTTATGGACTGAAACCTCTACACGCTGTGAGCCAAATGAACCTTTCCCCCTCCAACTTTGGGTATTGGGTATTTTGTCTCAGCGATGAGAAAAGTAACTAAGACACCATGCAGCTGCTCCACGTGCACTGTATTTTTAACATGAGGAGCAAATAATCCAGGGCTGCGTTTCAAGTTTGGGTGGACTCCAAGGAACAAGTACAGGAACAGCTGCAAGGCAGAGAGTGGAGAACAGAAATGCAGCAAAAGATAGAAGTAGAGGTGACTGGGAGTGGGACAAGAATGTATAGAAATTTTGGCAAAAGGATTGAACTTTGGCTGTCTGGTGAACAGGGAGTTTGAGAAGAACCGATCCAGATCTCAGGCGGGGTGGTGGGTAGCCTGGTTCACTCATACAAGGAACCGCAGTGTATCTGGCTGTCCAGCTAGTTATCAACCTAAACTAAGAACTCTTCAAGGGTGGGAGCCATAAGAGGTTTCCTCCCAACTAAATCAGACACTTGCCTCAGAAGGGGACTGAAAAACTACAACGCATCACTTTACGCATCCAAATCACTTAGAAAGCACTGAGACATCATTTAATCATGATGGAGAACCTAATATTCTGCAACTGGTAGCCTGAGCTATTCATGTTTAAATGTACCCAGGCCTCCTACATTTATTATTTAATAATGATATTATCTTTTCATATTCCTTAATAGTGATACATTATTTTATTTATATTATATTTTTCTGGAATGAAGGTGCTCCTTATTCTTTAGAGATAACAAGTGGTGTGTTAATACCCTGAGGTCACTGTTGTTGCTCAGTGTATTAATGAACCACATGGAGTAGGTCAGCGCAACAGGTTGATTCTTGAATTCCCCTGAAAGCCCGTGTATTAAAGTCTTGGTGCCCAGCATGGTGCTGTTGGAAGACAATGGCACCTTCAAGAGGCAGGGCCTGATGAGAAGTGCTTAGGTCATTGGAGGCGTGACCCCACAGAGGATGGTGGGACCAGCCCCTCCTGCTCCTCTTTGCTCCCTGGCTCATGAAGTGAGCATTTTGGGTGTACCATGTACTCCTACCCTGTGGCACTGCCTCACCACCAAACCAAAGCAATGGAGGCAGTGGGTCATGGCCTGGAAGCTCGAAAACTGTGAGCCAAACCAAACCCTCTCTCTGTCTTTATAAGTCGATTATCCCAGATATGTTGTTACTGTAATGGAGAGCTGATGAGCACACATGAGATGATCTGAAGAAGTTCCCATCCCACGAACTTAGCAGGGACTTGAATATATAGAGTATAGACTAAATCGTAGGATATTACTATAGGGACTGTCATGGGCTGAACTGTGTCCCTCTACACTTAACATATTGAGATCCTCAGGCTATAACTGCATTTGGAGATAGGCTTGTTAGAGAAGTAATTAAGGTGAAACAACTCTTAGAGTAGACCTAATCCAATACAAATGGTGCTATTACTAGGAGAAAATATGAGGACAGAGACACGTGTGCACAGGAGAAAGACCACGAGAAGATAGGGAGAAGACAGCCATCTACAAGTCAAAGAGAGATACCTCAGAAGAAGTCAACCTTTATTACAAACATGCTAATAAAAAATTAAATAAGGAAGGGGAATTAGAAGAAAAAAAGAATCCCATACAATACAGTCACATATAATGGCACAGGTATCACTTGACATATACTGTTCCTTTGAAAGATAAAAAGTACATAAGTAAAATTGTGATACAACTCAGAAAGAAGGAGGAAGAAGAGGGCAAGAGAAGGAAGATGAAAAAGAGGAGGAAGGAGATGAGGAGGAGGAGGAGGAGGAAAAAGCCAACCCTACTGACATGTTGTTGTTTTTAGACTTAGAGCCTCCAGAACTATGAGAAGATAATTTTCTTTTTCTTTTTTTTCTTTTTTTCTTTTCTTTTTTTTTTTTTTTTTTTTTTTTTTTTT